TAAGCCAGGACCCAGTAGTATTTTGTTACGTTTCTTCACAGAGAGGGGTTCGTCCGAACCCCCTGAACCCCTTTGGATCCGCCACTGGTTTGTGTGTCCACAACGAATTAACACCTTGGTGACATTTAAAAGTTCGGCAGAGAGCTCCAAACTGGAGTAAATTTTTTGTCGTCCTTCATCTATCCCCAATTAACTGGGTCCTGTTCAACTCTGAGGGCATCTAGACAGTTTTACCACTTCCTGGATTGTAGTACAGATCGTTTGACATGTTTCTTTAATGCAGCTGATGTTTTGACATGTTTCTTTAATGCAGCTGATGTTGGGGGGTATTCTCTACTGCCTTTCCCCAGTTGTAAATAGGTATCACCTTGCATCATTTACCTTCTTACCATCAAATGTGCCGCTAGCAACAACCAACTGTTCTAGTGTCTGTTTCACAACATCTCCTACAGATTCTCTAGAATACTGGAGTCATACATGGCATCTTTTTCCAAGTTTCGTTAAATGATGGTTTACCTTACCTTGAACAGATGAAGTTGTATCACAACCGCTAAAGTAGTGAAAGGACAATTGTGAGCGGTTGATATCTGTGGTCCCAGAGAAGTAGCAATCGTGTGTATTGGAATGTACTTTAAGTGATTCCTCTCGAGCCAAAGCTCCTGGATGCCATGCAGGTATTCTGTGGAAAGCTGACAACTCAATAGCAGCAACATCACTGTCTATAGTCTTGACAAGAATGCGTGGACAATTTTCAGCAGCATGTTTAACATGAACAAACATACGTTCATCTGCCTCTTCCATACATAGCAATGGTTGGAGATCTACATACTGGTTTGCTGCAGCTCCGTCTCCCAGAGACTCTACAAACAATCCGTGGTTTGTGTCAATGTTCTCAAATACTTTGTTTACAATTAATGGAAACACTCTGATTTGTTGTCATCACATCTCATGAATGTAGACCAATTGTTGGGCATACTCCCGCTGGCTTTGATGACACTCCTCACACCAAAGCCGCGGTTCGAACGCGTACCAGACTTTAAACTGTCTTTAA